AAAATGCTTGTACTTTGCCATTTTCAAGCAAAATCTTCACCATTATAGATGTTGAAAAAATTAAATTTATTTAGAAGAAAAAATTGCCCAATATTTCACCATACTGCCGTTAAATGTTGCCAAATACCTACAATCTGGTGCATGCCTCGGGAATAGCCATACCCATCGGTTATTTAGGGTTCACTGAGCATCACTGAGCACGCCTCACAGGGTGCACAACAGGCGACAAGCGACCGAAAAAGAGGAAACTCAGTTCCAATTTCTTTGTAAAACATCCCGATAGACGAACGCGGGTTTCTCTTTTTCCACTTCTATATCACATCCCGAAAAGAATTTCGGCTTGACAATGCTGTATGTGTTCTCATGTCTCTCCTCATGTCTTGAAAACATCCATGTCTTCTGCAGGACTCGAATCCGATCCTAAGGATGTGGCAACCGCCTCTCCTGAAACCATGCCAACAGGAAAGCCCAGATGAAATGTTTCTATAGAGATCCAGAAAACATGCATTTGAACAGGTTGTTAAAAGGTTTTAAAAGTATGTTTTTTAAAACAACAAATTTCAATTTTCCATTTATGAAATTGTGATTATTTTCTACGGCTCCGTAAGTGCAGTTGGCAATGACAAGAGCATTTGCAATTTTGATTTCTCAGATAGAAGCTTGAAGGAAAAAGAAAAGGAAAAGGAATTTTATTTTCCGGGTGTATTTTTATGTAAAAATAGAAAAACCCATGGAATCTTTACAAAACTCCAGTTTACCACAAAATTACAAAAACATTATTTCAGATAATGACTGCAGATAGTGCCTTTGGGCGGTGAGTTACCAAAAAACACTGTGCGTACGGTGTGTATACATGGTGGGTTTAAAAAATTTTAGGACCCACTTTTAAAAAGAATTCCGTCAAAACTTGGAAAAAGACAATTAACAGCATTTATTACTATGACGCCTTTCCGCCCACTTTAACATACTTTTCCTATGTTAAAGTTCCGGCTGATTTTTATATGCAGCTAATCATTTGTTGTTATAGGGTGAACATGTACTGACATGAATTCGACCGCTGAAATATTTGATTAGCTATGATATGACCGCTGAAATATTTGATTAGCAATTTAGGATTACCTATGAGATTTCTTGCTTTCCTTAAGATCCTGAAGCGAAATGGCAGTCATCTACGAGGATTGGAAAAGGGTTTACCATATTCCCATATTCCAAATCCCATATTCGAGATAGATATGATTAGGTTGAATTGGGGAAACTAACGAAGAATTTGTTTCTGAGATAAAGGTTGTAAATTTCTTATTTTATAAATATGTAATTGACAGACTTCTGAAGAGAATTCAGTGGGTTAGGCTTCAAAAAGCTCAATCGGGTAACTTTCAGTATATTCAGGATGAAATAGGTGATCTAAATAATTGCCTTTGAACTAACGGTTTAAGTGACTATATAGCAAGATTTGCCCTTCTTGACCATAGTCAACCAGCATGATGACGTCGACGTCTTTGACTCGCGAATCTAAGTAGATAGGTACGATTAGTAACTGTCTCGAACTTTGGAAGAAAGGTCTGACTTTGCAGGAACATAACCTTTTCTGTATACTGATCTGACTTAGAGTCAGTTGTCTTTTGTCTGCTAAATTAATGTTTTCTCAGATTTTAAAAACATCCTTTTTACTACAAATGAAAGAGAAAATTAACTGATTATTGAAATAAAAAAATTTCTTTTTAAGAAGTTATTGCTTTTTCCAGTGCACGCTTTCGAGATGTAAGTGCATGTCCAGTTTGCAAGCGGAAGATACGCATTCAAATTTCGATGAAATAACAACCAAATTTTCATGTTTCTTCGTCCGAAATGCTAAATGGAACTTTAAATAAAGAAGCTTTTAGCTTAACTTCCAAACTTAGCTATTAATAATTTATTCAGAACATACTTGCAGTTCTTCCCTATAGCTACAAAACTGCTGAGTAAGATCGTCAAGTTATGCTGAATATTTATTTCTTGCCTTTAATCACACTTTCTTTATTTCCTTTATTTTCAATGAAAATATGAATATATGTCTAAGGATTACCGTCAGAAAATTGTTTCAGCATATCGATTACATTTTGTCACGTGTAGTTTTTTATCTTTTTTTCTGCTAAATTATTCGCATTAATATTAAATTAGGCAACGTATATAATCTTAAGAGGAAAAATGCCTTCGTGAAGGATTTTTCAAGAGAAATTACCTGCTCTTACCACTAATACGGAGAAAACCACAAAAGTACTCATACAGTCGACTCCCTAAGAATTCTAGCTCGGGTCCAATACCCAGCTGTTTTATCACTCAGTTACTGAGATGACTCGTTCAAACATTCTGAATTTTTCTTGTAAATGTAGTTCAAATTTTCGCTTTTTCTCTTAGTATGTTTTATTTACGTGAATTCTCTCTTCATGTGATGTATATCGTAATTTTTATTCTTATGTTTATTTGACACACTCTTCAGAAATAAAACAGGAAAAAAAAAAAAAAAAAAAAAGCCCTTATTCTATGGTATATATTATTTCAGAAGTAAATTTTCCCTTTTCTCCTTTACCTAAACAATGAAATTCAAATAAAAGTGTGACCGTTACAAAGGTATTTTTGTTGATTCCTGAAGGGTAGCAATTATATTGCTTAAAAACATCTTATTTTTTAATAAAAAATAAAAATTAGTCAACAATTAACCAACGATTATGGTAAAATGATATAGCTTCTTATAGCAGACGACTAAAGAAAAAGAATAAAGATTCGGGTTCGATTCATTCATCAGTTTACGCATTTTTTATTATTCGATAGTTGGCATATTTATTTTAGATTGGCTGCTTTACTTTTCAAAACCATTGATAGTACTGGTATTGGTTCGAATCCGAGCAGCTTCATTTTTTTCGGCTTCTACTGAAATACTGTGCGATATAAGACAGCACGATCACCCCTACGGTCTGGGCCCCTATATACGTCTGCGCGTTTCTCTAAGTGGCAGACAGACTATTCAAAGATCTGTGAGGTACAGAAGGACCATTTAGAGGCAAAACGATATTGTTCAAGAGTGTATTGTAGTAAAATGTTAAATTTTAAAGTATTTACCAGCAGCAGATGGGCCGTTGTTACACGATATCGTTAACCCCTTCATCGTTTCCCGCTAGACAGACTCGTCGATTTGAAAAGTGTTAGGCGTCAGCAAGGAGTCATGATTAAATATGACCTGATAATTACACCCAAGAGACACTTGCAGCGGAAATAAAAAGAGGATATTTATGGCCTAATTTTTTGCGCTCTTTCCTAGCAAATTTTCAAATTGCTTTCATAATTTGAAATTGTAAAAAAAAAATCTGAATATATTATTTACATTTGTTCATTATCCATAGCAAGTGGTAGCACATAGATAGCAAATCCGCGAATAGTAAAGAAAATCAAATTCCGCATTTCAAATATGATCTTTAACAATCTTTCAATTAAACTTCGTAATAAATTATAAATCTTTTAAAATGAGCGAGCATTAACCTTTAAAACCTTTGAAGATAATTATCCTTCGTTTAATATTAAATACACTCAAAGACTGTTTTTTAAATTTATTGATTGTTGTTTCGCTTTTATAAATTTATTTCGACAAACACGCATGATATTGAGGCAACATCTGTATTAGCGATTATGATAATCTTTAAACACTTGCCATTTTTGTAATTTCTGTTGCCCTTTGGAAACAAGAGTCTCATTTAAGGTAATAACAGACCTCTTTAATTATTAATCAAAACTCCTGAAAAAAGCTCTAGGAATTTTGCTGCCACTGGTAAAATTATTAACGAAATGAAAACAGTCTTTTGTGTGATTGCATCAGAAATGTTAACTTAATCCACTGATTGATTCCAACTGCCCGCTCTAACACTAAATCAACAGTTTGGTCTCAATTCACGATTGATCTAATTTCACAAACTACCCTTGCAACAGATATTACTATGATGTTAAATCTCATTTCAATGGCTAGTGAGGTTATTTATCAATGGCGAAGACCATGCATCTGCATCAACATTGTGTCTGTATCATTTTAATTAATTATATCATCAATATTTCCGGTATAATACTAAACTGACAAATCACAAAGCTTTTAAAGCAACATATTAATAACACTGAGTAATTTAATAAGATTAATATAATTCTAAAATTTGATTAAACAAAATTTATGAACTCTGAGATTAAATAGATTCCATAAGAAAATATTTTTGCTTTATAAAAAAAAAAAGCGGACTTACTTCAATTTCCCTTTAAATGTTTAGTTTCTTTTAAATACAATGTCAGCTAGTGCTTGAAATTTATCATTTTTAAATTTCAAATTGGAGCGGTAGATGTTATTACTCTGGATTGCGATAATATAGTTATTCAGCATACAATAGATAAAGCAATTGTTCTACAACTGACAAAATGAGTAAACTAAATTTTTGGAAGGTAATAAATGAAGTTGTTCAAGCAATAATATATCGCTAACAATTAATTATTGCTGATTTGCGCTAGTTATTACTTTCAGCATATTCATTTGTTTGCTATTAATGTGCACGATTAAGTTTTCTTTCAATAACGTTTAATGTATCAGAAAATTATAAAAAGAAATTAAGAAATAATAATGTTTTTTTTTAATTGAAAACATTGTATGTCCTTAAAAGGTACAGTAACATTTCCTTTATTCTAGCTGCTTAAAACAATACCATGATCAACATTAAATTTTCCATAATTTTATGTGAAACTAACTTTAAAAAGTTATTTTTGCTTCCGGATTCATGAACTACTTCGTTTTAATTAAAGCATTTTAAACCAATCAAGCAATATTTCCTGTTTTGTATTAAAGGAAACTGCAAAACTCATTTATCTGAATATAAAGAATTCTAAATTTTAGATATAAAGAAGTGTAGCATTTCAAGAGTTTTATATTTCAGAAAAGAGAAATTTCCAGATTTCACTTCAAAGAAATACAGCATTATTTTAGAATGGCTTACTTTCGATTGCTCTTGAAAATAAAAGCGCCCTTCTTAATATTCATCCCGGCCAAAAGCTCATTACTGTATTCATTATTGTTTATTAAAGGGGCGCCAAAATTGGCGACTTCCATCCTCTCTTTTGGATCTACCCTGCAACCCTTGACGGACGAAATGGATGCTCTCTCTCTCTCTCTCTTCGCTTGAGATATGCTCTTGGGGTTTTCGCTGTGTTCTTCCCACATCCACGGAGCATGCTCAGTGCGTCTCTCTCCCTTTTCCAAACAACACCCCAGAACCCAAAAGAGAGTCTTACTTCCGCGGCGTTCTTCTCAGGACGCGGGTATCATGTCCTCGAAAATGATGTGAGGAAAGATGTAGACACGTGTTTTTTACGTTTATTATGCGTTGTAAATAGACTGTCATATATTTTTTATATCTTTATCTGATCCATCTTCTTTCTTACAATGAGTTCTTCAAGACAGTTTCGGGCTTCAAGGAGTCTTAGCCCGCCGAAAGGAAAAGACGGAAGCAGAGAAGAGGATCAACACACTTGCGATAGGTAAGGAATGATTCGACTGAGGGGTGGTCGCGTGCTCCGTTTTCCCGATTATTTAGATCGCTCGATGTCCAGACCCTCTGGGATACTGTAGTTTTGTTTTCTTCTGGGGTTTGGTGTATGCCGCAAATCAAGATCGAGGTTTGATGACAGAGCTGTGCTCCAACACCGATATCATTGAGAGAGATATAATGTTTTATATGCAAACAATGTAAACATTAAACTTGTGGGAAATACAGAAGTTTAAAATTTAAGAAAGGTCTATAATTGCGAGATTTTGCAACTATGTGAGACGTTTCGTCAAATATAGTGAAAAGTTAAAATTTCATGATAATTTCTGCAACACAAAGACAACATTTTAAATAACAGAGGACTTAATTTTGATTTCTCAATTAAAGAATATTTGTGTAATCTATTTGCAAAGACAAATTCCTTGAAATTAAGAAGCAACTAATAACATGCTCAAAAATCAACTGTTGATACTTTTAAAGTGATACATAAATTTTTGCAAAAGTTTTCTTTCCACTTTAATTAATTTATAAGAATGAATTTAATAAAAACATTTTCAGAAGAATTAATAAATATTTGTTTTAGTGTTCTGTTTCTTAATGATAATTCAAAGCGTTTGCAAATAAGTAAAAATTATTAATAAAATTTTTAATGTAATATGCAACTTTATTGTTTATTAATGAAATTCAGATTTGAAAATTAGGAAATATTTCGTTATTTCTTTGTTTAACAAATAAATTAATTAAATTCTGCAAATAAATAAAATTAGACTCCAGACGAATCATTAGTCTCTTCATTTATAGTCTTAAAGTTTACGATGTAAGAAATGTTTTTCCTTCTTGGTTTAGATAACAGTGATGTCGAAGCTCAATTGTTTTCTACTTAATTCAGAATGAAATAAAGAATTGATCAAGAAAGGACGCAAAAAATAAATAAAATTTAATAAATAAAATCCAAACAGACAAAACATAATCCATTAACAATCTTATTAATAGTGCAAATAATATGAATGTCTTTTATTTGGTAGATATTTTGAAGTAAATTTGGAGTAAATTTGGAGTAAATCTGGAGTAAATTTGGTTAATAAAAGATGTATTGTATGAGGGTAAAAATAATGTATACTGAAATAAGAAAATGCAGAGCGTTTTTTAATAGTGAACTTCATAGGATTATTTTTCTAATAGTGCATTTCATAAGATTATTTTTTGATAGTGCACTTCATAAGACTAGTTATAATTCAATCACGAAACAAGTAGGCGATTGCTTCTCTGTTTTAGAACTGAGAAATATGCAGTCTAAAATCTGACTTTGGAAAACGTATGATTATTAACGTATGCTTTACTGTGTAATTACGTTTAATAATTACACAGTAAAGCATCATATAAAATATTTATAAATCGAGAATTTAATGGAATTTAAATTGTATTCAATTTTATTAATAATACAGTTTATTTCATGCACAAAATAGTGTTTCAATTCGAAATGTTAAAAACTTTCAATTATTCTCTTGCTGTTAGCTAATACCCTACATTATCTCAAGACGCAAAAGTATGAATTTCTAAAACATTCCAAGTTTAACATGTTAAAGATTATATATTATCGCAATTATAGCCATATATTATAAATAAGTCAAAAGTATTTTTAACTTCTGCATAAATCCTTGATATACATATTATTGCAAAAGTTTGAACCAGATATTTTTAAAACTGATATTTATATCTATTTTTAATAGTTTCTATAACCAGATTTTAAGAGCAAATGAATACTGTGGTCGATAAAGTGTATATCAAATTTTTCGAGATCTGACATGTCGCCTGTGTGTGCTTTTATAAGATCTTACGTGGGGGGTTCTTATCAAACAGAAGGTATTTGATCTGCAGCACCTTTTAAATTGCTCTCGAGTATGAATAATGTCAGAAAGCAATTAATTGTTCTGTTATAAATTTGGTGCTTATAAGATTATAAAATCAATGAAACTGAAGGATAAATTTATGCCCATCAATAAAAGAGTTTTGAATGCAATTTGTTTTAAAGGTAAATCCAGAATCAGTCTTAACAATTTTCGTTCTGTGAATGTATTGTACTTGAATGATTGCACCGCCGTTGTAAATTTAATGTTACGGATTTTCCAATCATAAATTGTGACAACTGTGAAATTATTTTATATTTACGTCATATGATATAGATGACAATGCATAATGATATGAACGTATCTCTATATATAAAATACAGAGCATAAATGGGGATATATGCATAATATTGATAATTCTGCCTTAACAACATTTTCTCTCTTGAAGTAGCAATTAAGTACTATAATTACTAGTTAGTATAATTTTGTCCTCCTGCATCAGTTAACAACACTTTCATCAACTTAATCCTCACAAAAATTCTTCTTTAAGGATTCTGTTCTTACGTATTATTATTCTCAGATTTTTTTAAGCGCAAAATTGCTAACAGACTCGAAACGCGATTTTACGACCAATCGCTATAAATGCGTCGTTTTACTTTTCTTCGGAGTTTGCTGCCATTGGGCAAAATGTAAAATAGTTAACTTTCATACTGAATCTGTCTGCTCAGGATTAATAAGCTACGCTACTTGAAGGCAATAGATGCAGTTCCTAAAAATATTTGTTTCTTACTTTTGAATCGGATCGATTTTAATAATAATAACGCATTTGATTCATGGTCTATCTAATTAAAAATATTCTATATTTTCTTAGAATGACGTTATATATTTTTTACTATTTAGTTCCTATTTTGTAAAACTATAATTATTTTTTTTATGAACAAACACAACAATCTGAAAGCGTGCAATGGCGACACTGTAAGGAATAATATAGTTTTATCTCCTAAGAAAACTGAATCTTGATATGATGAACTGAGAAAAGACTAAAAAAAAAAAAAATGGAAAAATACTCCAGCACTTTATACTGCATCGAGAATTCTAAACATATGTTGTTATGCGGCTTCTCAAACTTTTATAATTTTGCTGTTGAACTGTATACGTCGCAAGGGCGAAATAAACGATGTTTAATAATAAAGCTAAAAAGACAATAAAAACAGTAGGATGGCAGGAGTAAGTTCAATAGCAGACTGGTAGACCAAGAGCATGCTTTACAAACAGTTTTAGGCACCCGTTAATCTGGAAATATTTAAGTTTTTTTGTTTTGTTTTGTTTTCCTTTCTCTCTTCTTTTTTTCATAGCGCATGAATACAATTTATTTTCATTTCAAAAATTGTTTCTGATAGCTTGAAGAATTTACATATTACTATATATATATATATATATATATATATATATAATGTTATATAACATATTATATAATAGATGTTATATAACTGATGACTCACAATATATGAAGGAAATTTAAACCAAAATATCCTGAGGATACGTATATTTAACCCGATGTAATTATTCTTGAGCAAAGGGCTTTACAATTTTTGTTATCCATCCAAGATCAGCTTTGAATAAAATATCACATCGGTTAAATATTATATGTGTTCTAGATTATTCAGAGTTTTGCATTTTATATGAAAAATAGAGATTCAGTTAAAAAGGCATTGTTGACTAATGGAAAATTTTATGCATATTTATCAAAGGCTGTTGAATATATATTGAAGAATTTTGATACATTCCAAATGCAGTATGTTTTATATTTTTAACTCATAAAAAAGTCTTAGCACATTTTACAGCTTTAAGTTTTAAATTAGTCACTTTCTGTCACTATATTCATTTCACTGAATACATGATAACCCGCAGAAGACTGCATTTCGTTATATTGTTGCGTTTTTCTTTTCTGACACCAGTTGTTACGTTATTGTCTTTTCTTTACGTTCGTATGGTGTTCGTGGGGATTTGGAGTGAATAACGGCAACACTTCTTGAAGTATCGAAACACACGTTATTTAGCCAATATTAATCAGGACAGCTCCAAAATCATGTTACAGTCGTCGAAGAACTACTTTAAGCAAGCCGACGCAATCAGTGACACAATCTTCACACTATCAGGCTACAACGGTGGAGACAGCTTCACTGCAAAGCACCAGAGTACAGCTCCCCGACTCTGCTCGGTCGTTCTCGGAACTCCACCTACTCTCGAGACTCTTCAAGCTACAACTCGCGGTGCACTCGACGACACACAGAGCACGGCTCCCGACTATTCGATTCAGTCGTTCCTGGAGCTCAACACGCTTTCTAGACGATGCACTAACCGCGATACACTAAGAGACTTTTCGGTGCACTCGACGACCCACTAGGCACTCGCTGCCCGGCGATGTCAACTCGATCGACTCCGCAGGGATTGACTCGCTAGACGAGACACCATCTCGATACTAACTAGATGAGAGACATACACACACTAACGGACTGCGGACCAGCAGGGCTTATATAGCTTTCGGCTTGTGTTCGAGAACATTCTGGGCTAAACCGGTAAGAATTCGTTCCAAAAGGTTCTCCATCCGTCCATGGCATATTGCTAAATGTCGCCAAATGGGCGATTTCTCGCCAAATGTGACGACCCTGTTTTCCCTTGCCATTTTATGGCAACCTAAAACAGCTTTGCGGGGAAGCTATCTCACCGCGCCTG